ACAGCTGTTAGCTCTGTAGGTGCTAGGAATTGAACCTGGGTCCTCTCCAAGAGCAGGAAGTTTTCTTAATTACAGCATCCTTTGAAGCATATATGCTTTCAGTTTTGATAAATCATCTTTTGTATGTTTTGGTCACGTGTTTTGGGTACCATATCTGAGAAGCTATTGCCTACCAGTGTCATAGGAATTTATATTTTCTCTTACGAATTTTGTTTCACATTTAGGACTCTGACCCACTTTGAGTTCATTTTTATACATGGTATGAAGTGGGGGGTCCAGCTTGATTCTTTCAAAGTATGGATTTTAATGATTAGGGAAAAGCATCCCGCCAGGCGGTGGGGGCGCACGCCTTTAATCCCAGCACTTGGGAGGCAGAGGCAGACAGATTTCTGAGTTTGAGGCCAGCCTGGTCTACAGAGTGAGTTCCAGGACAGCCAGGACTACACAGAGAAACCCTGTTCCCCCCCCCCCAAAAAAAAGGGAATGTATCCTTTCTGTCCCCACCCATCTCTAAAATGGAAGTCTAGGGGATGGGCAGCCTTTGTTTCCTACTCCTGGCTAGCTGCGCTTGTAGCTTCCTAGACTCCCAGGGATAGATCTATCCCAGAACCTCTAGAGACGTTTCAGACCCTGTAGAATCCAGTCTATGGTTTATCACAACCATAACCTTTCTTGGGTAGGAGACTCACAGTGGACTTGGAAATAAACAGAGCCAGGTTTGTCTTCCAGACCTGCTCATTTCACGTTAACTCCAAGTCAGTCGTTTAACTTTTCTGCGCCCTGAACTGCTTTGTGAGCTGGAAGATAATCTGGGACTCTCTGAAGACTCCATAGGATTGCTCCATGAACGTCTGAGGCTTAGAAGAGGGGTGGGTCAGGGCTGATTACGTGTTACCATACTGGGCTGTTCTGTTAGGGAAGGAGACTCAGTTCTCTTCAAAAGTAATGTTTATATCATTTCTTTATATTAAAGCCACTGGCTGTAAACAAAAAAAAAATTCAAATTTGAAATGTAACTGTCTTAGCACTGGCTTTAGATCCATTTTATTCCATTTGTCTTAGTTGAAAGGGCTGTAGGCAATAACAAGCCTGTTTGCTGTGTCTTGGAGCTCTTTTCAAGTTTTATGTGAATCCTTCAATGGGGAATCTTTGCTTAAGATTGACTCACATATAATATGCCTGACTTCTACCAGCTCAAAATAAAAACTAGACAAGCCCCTCGATCCTTAACATATGTATCCAAATCACATCTGGGCGATGGCCTCCGAGGCTTGTTATTAATGCCTGGCCAATGTCCACTGACAGGCACAGTACTTTAGCATGGACCAAGCAGAGGTGTCAGGTCCTGACTAGGTGTTCGTTTGTTAAGATTTGTTTATTTTATGTATGAGTGCTCTATCTACATGTATACCTGTGTGCCACAAGGGGGCATCAGACCCCATTATAGATGCTTGTGAGGCATCATGTGGTTGTTGGGAATTGAACTCAGGATCTTTGGAAAAGCAGCCAGTATTCTTAACTGCTGAGCCATCTCTCCAGCCCCTGATTGCCCTTGGCTGGGATTTCGTTTTGTTTTTGTTTTTTTTCCCTTCTCCCTCTTGCTCCACCCCACTCGCTTCAGCTTGCTTACTCTGGCCCAAAGCCTTATGTAAGTACACTGTAGCTGTCTTCAGACACACCATAAGAGAGCATCAGATCTTATTACAGGTGGTTGTGAGCCACCATGTGGTTGCTGGGATTTGAACTCAGGATCTCCAGAAGAGCAGTCAGTGGTATTAACTGCTGAGCCATCTTGCCAGCCCTGGCTAGGGGGTTTTAAGTAAGTATTAGCATATGTATTTGGGGGTATACTTGCAGCTAAGCTCTGTGTCTACATGGTGTTTATATGAAGCCCAAAGGGGAGGTGTAGCTAACGTAGAATGCTTATCTAGAATGAGAAAGACCCTGGGTTCCATCCCAGAACAACAGATTTTTTAAAGCTCTGTAAGAGAGCAAGAAAGAGAGAGGAGAGGAAGAGAGAGAAGGGGGAGAGAGAAAGAGAGAGAGAGACAGAGAGAGAGACAGAGGGAGAAAGACAGAGGGAGAAAGACAGAGGGAGAAAGACAGAGAGAGAGAGAGAGAGAGAGAGAGAGAGAGAGAGAGAGAGAGAGAATATCTTTTCCTTGAGAGTACACACAATCCTAGTCCTTGGAATTCTATAATATATGTTATTTTACAGTTTGTGTCACCCCAAAGCACTTCAAGTCCCTTCAGCACAAATATAATATGCTATATAGAGAACTACCTACCTGTCTCCACAGGTGACCCAACATGGGAGTCCATAGCTCAGGACTGTCACCCCTGCCCTGTTTCTTCCTGTCCCAGAGAGATGCCTGACTCTGTATTCCTTTACCCAGGTGCAGTTTGACCAGAGGAGGCTAGTGTTCTAGGTTTGCAGGCTGAGGAATTTCTGTGTTCCTCTGGTTTAGGCTCTCTCCTAAGATGAAGGTCAGTCTGAGGAAGTCTGAGGGCAACAGGGTGCTCTTCCTGTGCCCTGAGTGGGGAGAGTGTTACAGTTTGCTTTCAACGTTCTTCAGAAATTAAAGTACTAGCTCTTGGCCCCTCATATTAACTCTCTCTGTGTTTTCTGGAAACTCCAGCCCTGTCTCCTTAGCAGGGCTGATATTCATCATGAGTCTGTCTCTGTTCTGTCTGAATCAACACCAGTTGCCCAAAGAAATACACCATGAAAGGGGAGGACCGTGTTGATGACAGGGCAGAGAGACAGGCTTCCTGTGCCTATGCAATGCCTGAGTGGCCTAGGGAGCTGAGGGAAGTGGAGGCTAGCAGCCCCGGGAACGTCAGACTCCAGACTCCAGGAGGATGAGAAGTAGAGTACTGTTTTCAGAAGTGCATGGGAGACTTGTTTGTGGTCAGTCCAAGCTTTTCCCTGGCTGAGTTCAGATCCTTACATCTGCCAGGGGAAACTGATGTGCATAGGAGGTTGTGAGACTGAGGTTGAGCTTCCTAGAACTGTAGCCTCTGCTAGCTGGCAGCCTGTTTCTCTGCTGGCTGTTTACATTTTGACCCATAGCCCTAACTCTAACACAGCTGTGATGGCTTTTTGTACACTGAGGGATGAGGTGGCAGAGAAATAATTCTTACCTTATATAGAAACTGAATAAACACAACCTTTAAAGATCATAAAAGGTCAAGAAAATAAAACAGGAAAATATTCTTGGAGTGGAAGAAGAGATCCTTGCAATTACAAAGGAAAAGAATTAGAAGTTAAACATAAAAATGAAAAACCTCACTATGTTAAGAAAACTACCTTGATCAAAGGACAACTAGGCCAGAGGAAACGCTTCCTGTATATAAATAACCATTAAAAGTGCTACCAGCAGCTGGGCTCCTGTCTATCCCAGCTACTTGGGAGGCTGAGGCAGAAGGATTCTGAATTTGAACCCAACCAGGTAACTTAGTGAGATTCTATCTCAAAACACAAAAAGGTTGGTTGCCATAGCTCAGTGTAAAGGCTCTAGGTTCAGTTCCCAGTATTTGATGGGCGTATCTGTGATTTGTAAGACTATGAATAAGAGACAGTGAGTTCTGAGAAAAACAGGAACAGGACTCCCTGTCCCCTATAGCTAGGCGCTGTAAATACGTAAATTGTGTGTCCTAGTGGCAGCAGTGTTCCTGTGAGTGGTGAGGGGTTATTTATACCTGCCATCTGGGCTTGTTTACAAAAAGACCTGTGTACTGCCATCTGCTGGTTCAATTGTTTACCTGTGGGAGGTGGGGCTAAAGGTTTTGATGGGGGTCTGCAAACCACATGATTGTTTTGTTTTAGGTTTTTAGAATTTTATGTATATGAATGGATTTTTTGGCAAGTATGTATATATATCATGCCTGTGTCTGGTGTCTGAGGTTAGAAGAGATTCCTAAAACTGGAATATGATCCTAAAATTGGCTCAAAACCGATGATTGTGAGCTACCAAGTCATGGGTACAAACCCAAGCTCCCTAGAAGAATAGCCAGTGCTGTTAACCACTGAGCTGTCTCTAGGCCCACAATTGTTTTGAGTGTAGAGGTTATGTACAGGGGGGGACCAAGATTGAGTGCTGGAGTGTAGCCTTACTAGTTTATAGCCATATGAAATTGGGGTGTCCCTAAAGCTCTCTGCCTGTGTTTGCTCATCTGTGTAACATGGTGCAATGTAGCAAACAGGTCCTCTGGTAGGGCAGTGGGAGAAGTCAGCGAGCCGGAACCTACCGAGTACTCAGGCACTGTTTGTGTGAGCTAGCACCCAGCATGCCAGCTGTCATTGTGAGAGAACACTAGTCCTTGCCATGTCTCCTTAAGGCATTGCATCATTTGAAAACCCTTGCCACATTGTTCTAGTGACCCAGGGGCTTTGTGGTACTGCTGTGACTCTGGAAGGGATGTGCACAGGAAAAAAGGTGTGTACACTCTTTTTAAGAAATGTCTGACAGGAAAGAAGGTGGCTGTTCCTTTCTCCGAGTCAGTTTAGGGAGATGATGGCTCTCCAGTCAACCCTTGGCATTGGTCAAGCTTTGTTGACTAGAGGGCCGCAGCACGCCCTGCCATGCCTGTGCAGACCATTCAGATGCCCATAGATTGGGAATACTTGGTCCTGTATCTAAGCTCCTTGCTTTGTTCTAGGTTTTCTTCCACCTCTAGCTTGTTCCCCATCTAGCAGCTGTGTCCTGCTAGCTACCTGCAGGCCATGCTGCTCGAGGATAGGCATGATACAACCCAACACAAAACACTAACTCACTCAGAACATCATCAGATGTTTCTTGTGATTGTATTGTTACTTGATTGTGTAGTTCTCAAGTGTGAGTTTTGTAAGTGACAGTGTCTTACTGAAGTGTCAAAGATTGGACACTCCTGAGATCTAGAGTTGGCCCTCCAGGAGCAGACTGAGCAGATAGCATGCTGTGTGGTATTCCAGGGATGGGCAGGTAGATGTCTAACTACAGGGCTTGTTTTCTCCACAGGAAATAAATGGTATCACTGCAGCACTGGCTGAAGAACTCTTTGAAAAAGGTACATAGCCATTGGTCATTGAAATGCTGGGGGCCATTTGCCTAATCTAGTAGGTAGCTAAAGGCTCAGAATAGCACCAAACTCATCTGTTAGGTCCTATCCAGGTCCTACCTCCTTGAAGGTGTCAAGTCCCTGGCCCTGGTCCCCAACCTGGTAGTCTGCCCACCTACTTGCCCTGCAGGTGAAGATCTATAGTCCTTCATTCTTAAGATTCCTTATTAGCATTATTTTGTCTTCTTACTATTATTATGGGTGTGTGTATGTGAGTACATGTGTCACAGCGCACATATGGAGATCAGAGGACAACTTGGTAGAGTCAGTTCTCTCCTTCCACCTTTATGTAGGTTCTGGGAATCAAACTCAGGTAGCCAGGCTTGTATAAGGTGAGTGTCTGGGACTCACCCAAGTCTCAGGATCTATTTCCAAGCCATGTGGGGTGTTGAAAGGTGGCTGGCATGCTGCCATCTTGCACCTGATTTGTCCTTGCTTGGAAGTGTTCAGAGTGCAAGTAGAAGTCAGTCTTGGGTCACGGTCTTGCAGAGAATATATTAACAGTAGCTGACATGTAGTGAGCAACCCCTGCCAACACTCTTCCATGTAGCTTTCACTGCGCTCCCTGAAGTAGAGGAAGGATGCTAGTGGTCAGAGGCCCAGAAATCTGATAGAAGAAGCAGTTTAAGGACAAAACGCTGGCATCTTAATTGACCTTAGTCTCTGCATATTAGGGGGTGCAGTGTAGTGGTACCCAGAGCACTGCCTTTCTCAGCCTTATCTTGGCTCAGTCAGTGGCTTAGATCTGTACTCACAACACATCCCTCCTTTCTCATTATGTGTCCAGGACTGCCCTGTGCCCAGTGTGAGCTCCAAAGGGCTGCTCTTCTGTGCTTAAGACTGTAGCTTTACATAGTGGGTGGGTGCATGTCATAGGTGCTTGCTGCATGCTTATTGACTGTTGGCTTGATGCTTACGATGCCCTGGCTGTACAACAGGCTGGGACTGGGGCTGGACACTTACCTTTCGGTTTGACTGTTACAGGAGAACAACTTCTAGGAGCCGGTGAGGTCTTTGCCATCAGGCCTTTGCAGCTCTATGCTGTCACAGAGCAGTTGCAGCAGGGAAAGCCTACTTGTGCCAGCGGTGATGCCAAGACTGACCTTGGACACATCCTAGACTTCACCTGTCGCCTTAAGTACCTTAAGGTAAAGATGCAGTAGCTTAGTTGTGGAGAATCACTCAGTTGGCTGTCGGTTCTGACAGCTTACTAGCTGGCAGTGTGTGGCAGAGACAGGGCTTAGGGTGTTCAGTGGATAAAAGGGACCTAGTATTCTTGATACTGTGCTTCTGCGTGTGAGCACCAGGAGGCATCACGGCCCACTGTCTCAGTACTGTTGAAGTGGCCAAAACTTTTGAGTTTGACATCTGTTGCCACAGTGACCCAAACGTGCAAATGGGGAAGGTATTCGCATTCCTAATTTAAATCCATCTTTGGCCTCAGGTTTCTGGCACAGAAGGACCTTTTGGGACCAGCAATATTCAGGAGCAGCTCCTGCCCTTTGATCTTTCAATATTCAAGTCTCTTCACCAGGTGGAGGTAAGGTCATGGCTGCTGGTGAGCAGGCAGGGCTGGGCCCTGCACAGCAGTGTCTCGCACCTATTGTCTGTATGTAGGAATGGTTGTGATAGCAAGTGGTAGGTACTTTCATATGTGGCAATAGATTGGCAGATTCTATCCAAGTAAATCAAGGCCCTCTAAAAACAGAAAGGATTCCTTTTCTGACTTTAGCTGGTTGCTGGCCTCCATCCCTGTTGTAGGCAACAGGAAGTATTAGATATGCACAGCACCAGAGCCTAGTCCTTCTGACCTCCAGTGGAGTCAGGGACAAGTGTTACTCAGGTAGAAGTCACAGAAATCATCCCAAGGGCCAGACAGAGAGAGGCAATTCCAATTCTTTGTTTTCCAAGTCAAAGGGCCTTGAAGGCTCTTTGCCCTCTAGGGTACCACACCTAATAAGAAATGCCTTATCTTACTTCCCACTGAATTCTGGTTCTTAACACTAATTTCATTATTTTTTAAATGAAGGAATTAGTAATGAACTATAAAAGCTGTTTTAAACCATGTGTTTCCTGAGCTTAGCTCTTCTGTTCAGCCTTGTACTCTGTGTCCATGTATACTCCATCAAGTCTCCCCAGCTGTTTTGTGAAATAGAGATGCTTTCCTTCTGTTTACAATCAAGGAAACTGAGGCTTAGGAAGATAAGGAGGTTTGGCCAGGAGACTGAATTGACTGAACTCCAGAAGCCTGCTCCCATTGACCTGTTCTTACCCAAGGACAGCTGGGAAGGCAGAAGAGATAGATGCTCTGTGTACTGTGGAGGAAACCCCTTGTTCTCCAGCTCTGATTCCTAGGTCCAACCTTTTCTGTTTACTTGGCAAGCCCAGATGTCCTTTAACCAAGGAAACAGAATTTGTGTCTCTTAATGAATGTGAGAGTCCAATTTTGAGATAGGGTCTCACTGTGTAGCTCTGGCTGTCCTGGAACTCACTGTACAGATGAGACTGGCCTTGAACTCACAGAGATATGCCTCCCTCTGCTCCTGAGTGCTGAGATCAGAGGTGTTTGAGACTGCCTAGCTAAATGCCTTTCTTACTAGATGCTTAAAACAGTTAATCTGCTCAGTAGCACTGGGGAATAAAAAAGGCCAAGGTTGGTTGGTTGTGACAGGGTTTCTCTGTGTAGCCCTGGCTGCCCTGGAATTTTCTCTGTAGACCAGGCTGGCCTTGAACTTAGAGATTCACCTGCCTCTGCCTCCTGAGTGCTAGAATTAAAGGTGTGGACGACCACCAGGCTGAAAGAGGCCAAGTTTTGAGTCACCTCTTATCAAAAGAATGCCTGGGGTTTCCTGGGGTTTCCAAGGCTTCAAGATGCCATTTCTGAGACACAGCTGTTCTTCGTTCCAGATAAGTCATTGTGATGCCAAGCATATCCGAGGGCTGGTCACCTCCAAGCCAACTTTAGCCACAATGAGTGTTAGATTCTCTGCAACCACCATGAAGGTGAGATCTGCCTTTGTGTTTTTCTGCCTGGGGCCTGGCCTGTGGGCTCAGCCTTTGTCAGTGTACCTGATAGAATTTCCTCTGAGCCCAGAAGCCCTGGCTTAGCCCTTATTTGTCTCTTATCTGCCATGGACTTGAAGAGGAAGATGAGGCTTAGAAGGGTTGGGCCCCAGCTGCTAATGTCAGAAGTTTCTTTTATCGTTATGTGGATATCATCATAATAATGTTAAAATTCTCCCTTAGTATAGAGACCATATATTGTAGTAAATTTTATGACTTAGGCATCTGCTCAAAATTTGGGTTTATTGAAAATTCTTTCTCCTAAGGCCACTAGCTGAGAGGAAGAAGCTGTAGGGAGAACAAAGTGTAGCTGCCTTGTCCCTTGGGAGGTATTCCTTGCCGTGTGGATAAAGGAACCCAGGCTGATCCCTAAGAAGATGTCTTGTAGGCATCAAAAGTCAAACCAGGGAGAACTGCCTCCCTCTCCTTTGGTGATCGATGCTCTGTGCTGTTACTCTCCTCTCAGCCATGATTCTTTCCCTGTGAAGTCATGGCTAAGGGATTTGCTGTCCACAGGAGAGACCATTCTGAAAGCATGGTTGCCTGGCAACACCATGAATTAGCCCTTCAGTCTCTGCTGGTTAAGCCAGGAAAGATATCACTCTATAGCAGAGGCCCGTGAGAACTTGACTGGCATTTATTCTTGAAGTCACAGGGCCAGAACATACTCAAGCTGCTGGTATGCTAAGCCTTTCAGTTATTTCACAACTGTTCAACGACACATAAACCAAAGGCCTTTTAGTGCAAGCTCATTTCCACATGCTAAATATGCTCCAGCTCTTCCTTAAATTTTGCAACTATAGCATGTTCTACTTAATGTTGCGTGAGGGCCCAAATGTGGTGCTCAACAGATGTTCTTATGCAGGAAGTTCTTGTTCCTGAAGCCTCAGAATTTGATGAGTGGGAGCCTGAAGGCACAACCCTCCTTGGCCCTGTGACTGCTATCATCCCAACATGGCAAGCACTAACTACTCTGGACCTGAGCCATAACAGCATCTCTGAGATCGACGAATCTGTGGTATGATTGTAGCAGCCTCCCAAGGCTTCAGACTGCCCAGACCCTAGGAATGGCTACTATAATTTGACCTTTTTCTGAAGGCTTCACCAAAAACCTATATTCAGTATTCTATACATTGTTTGTAGTTTTAAAATTAAATTTCAAAACGAGAATATTTTAAAATGGTGAGTTGATTCATAAAACCAAGTGAAGAATTATGAACTATGCATACATTTAATATAGCCATGGTAAGTGATAATTTTCAGTCCTAAGAAATAGCAGAAAACTCATTCCCTAGAGTACAGGTGTGCCTATGTTAGAATGACATTCCAAAGGCCTTAAGTGTGGTTCTTAGCCAGGCAGTGGTGGTGCACGCCTTTAATCCCAGCACTTGGGAGGCAGAGGCAGGCGGATTTCTGAGTTCGAGGCTAGCCTGGTCTACAGAGTGAGTTCCAGGACAGCCAAGGCTATACAGAGAAACCCTGTCTCGAAAAACCAAAAAAAAAAAAGTGTGGTTCTTAGCTGGCAATGTTGGTGTATGCCTTTAATCCAGACACTCAGGAGGCAGAAGGATCTCTGTGAGTTTTGAGGCTGGCCTGGTCTACAGAGAGAGTTCTAAAACAGAGAAACTCTGCCTTGAAAAACCAATAATAATAATAGTGTGATTCCTTTTGTACTCTATGGTAGTGGGCAGGGTTGAAAAAGAACATGCTCCTTTATCTCTCTGGGAATTACCATTTGTATTACTTAAGCCACTTGTTCTATCCAAATTGTGGATTCTTTTGAATTTCTGCTGATTGGACAGTGGGAGGTATCAAGGAGAAAAACTGCTGGCTGGAAATGCATGTTCAGTCACCAGGTACATGGACTGTGTACAGCCTCCTTGAGTAATGCTGAACATTCTTTTCTTTCATAAGAAACTGATCCCAAAGATTGAGTACCTGGACCTGAGTCACAATGGAGTACTAGTTGTGGACAACCTGCAGGTATAATCTCTAGGGACTTTTTCTCCAGGTCCAGAGGCTAAAGAAGCAGTGTACCCGAGGGGGTGGTAAATATGGGGGCCATTGCCTGCCTTTTAGGCTTCCAGGGATGCACAGACTGTTGCTCTAGCTCCCAAGTGTCAGTAAGGCTCAGTGCATGCAAACTGAGTGTGATGATGATAGGCAGGCTGATTTTCAGGACACTCCTCTAACCTGTCTTCAGGGGATACCAGCAGGTTATGGCATGGGGAAGAGAGAAGAGGGCCTTCCTTCTCAGCTGTTGTCAGAGCACTTATACGCTGGTCCAGTTGGTCTAAAGGGCACAGTGAGCTCTCTGGAGGACTGACCTCTGCTGCCACCCTGTTTCTCCTGCTAATACAGCACCTGTACAACCTTGTGCACCTTGACCTGTCCTACAACAAGCTCTCCTCCCTGGAAGGCGTACACACTAAACTGGGCAATGTCAAAACCCTAAACCTGGCGGGCAACTTCTTAGAGAGTCTGAGCAGTCTGCACAAACTCTACTCCCTGGTTAATCTGGACCTCAGAGACAACCGAATTGAGCAGGTGAGCCCCACTCCGGAGGGCCTTGAGGATCTAGGATTGCTGGACCTTATTGTTTATTATTTTAAAGAAAAGAAAACCAATAGAATTCTGTTCACTCAAAAGCAGCTATCAGTATAGTCTGTTGCTGAGATGTTAGAAGACAGGGCCAAATGGCACTGATGTCTTGCAGTTGGATGAGGTCAAGAGCATAGGCAGCCTGCCGTGTCTGGAGCGTGTGGCTTTGCTGAACAACCCTTTGAGCATCATCCCTGACTACCGAACCAAGGTTCTTTCCCAGTTTGGAGAACGAGCCTCTGAGGTAAGCCCCAGAACCAGTAGCAGAGCTCAGAGAGACTGGTAGGGTAAATCCAGTCTGTCTGCAAAAGCAAAGCAAGGTAAGGCTGTCCACTCAGCCCTTGTCTGCTTCTGAGGGATGTCTGCTTTTTAGGTCTTCACGTCCACTACTCCCTATGAGAGTACTCCCTGGGGTTCCCATTTCTCTCCCATCAGTTGCTTATTCCCTGCAGTCTTCCTGTGTGCCAGAACTTCAGGCTAGGAGGGCTTCAGGAACACTTAGGCACAAAAGGATTGTTTTCAACTCTTAAAAACTACATTGGAAGCTGGGCAGTGGTGGTTCACAACTTTAATCTCAGCACTCAGGAGACAGAAGCACACAGATCTCTGTGAGTTCAAGGCCAGTCTGATCTACAGAGCAAGTTCCAGGACAGCTAGGGCTATACAGAGAAATCCTATTTCAAAAAACAACAGTAACAATGATAAAAATAACATTGGATATTTTAGGCAAGGGGCCTAGAATAAGATGTCTAAAATTATATGTAAGATTTTTATTTAATTTATGTAAGATGCCTGAAATTATCAGTTTCTTGGGCAGCTAGTTACCCTGGTGCTTAACTATAAGCATTGAGATTTTTCTTTTCTTTACTGTGTCAGTCTAGTCTGTCTGCTGCCTACTGGCTCTGACTGTACAGGTGCCACCATGCTAACTGAGCAGGTCCTTATCAGGTATGCTCCTTCCCCTCAGCCTGCAGCAGGCTTTATTTCCAATCTCTCACAGTCCTTAGAACCCATTTTCTTCAGATCCCAGGCCAGAAGACACTGAGATTCTGTTTGCATCTCTCTCCAGCCTTCTCTGTCCCCACCAGGTATCACTTTGTCCACATTGTCCCTAAAACAGTTATTATAAGATAACATCTCTTGCTGGAGATGATTGTTTATGCCTGTAATTCCAGAACTCAGGATCTGAGGCAGAAGGGTTGCCCATGAGTTCAAGGCCAGCCTGGGTGACAGAGTGAAACCCTATCTATATATTAATTGATTAATTAATTAACCAATTAATTAAAGGAAAGCCTTCCTGGCTCCACAGTGTCTGCATGTGTCTGGTGCTTTGGGGTGTCCTTCAGGTGGCCTTTCTGCCCGCATGCCAGTCCACAGCTCTCCCCACTTACCCAGAATGGGGCTCCTATTCAGTGTATCTTTACCCCTGTAGTCCCTTATCCACAAAGTTCTTTTCTTGTTCTTTGACAGTTCTAAGCTCTGCCTATAAGTGGGAACTCAGTACATTCACTCCCTTCTCTTGGTTCCCAAGAGGCTTCTGCCCCTCTTAGTGGAGAGGGTCTCCTTAAGATCTGTTGGGCAATGTGGGATCTTCACGGGCCATCTACGGTGGTTCCACTACTTGTGGTGGTGAGGAGTCTCTCTTCAGTCCCCAGTATCCTCTTGAGGTCTGTAGTGTACTCAAACCCAGTCTTCACCAGGATCCCACCATTCTCCCAATATGCTCTGCCAGTCTCCATACTATAAACGACTTTCTGGATTCTGTAGATCTGTCTAGATGATGTCACAACCACAGAGAAAGAGCTGGACACTGTGGAAGTGCTGAAGGCAATCCAGAAAGCCAAAGACGTCAAGTCCAAACTGAACAGCATGGAAAAGAAGGTGAGCGTTTGAGGGATCTAGCCAAGAATGGAGCTTCGCTTGGGGAACTGAGCCATGGACTCACTCCCTCAGGGATCTCTGAGCATTAGTGTCCCATGCCCCACTCCCTACCCCTGCCTGTGAAACCTTAGACTGGGTCCTCAGATGTGCTTTGGAATGGTAATGGTACTTTTTATGTGACTTGTGAGATCATTGTCAACATCCTTTGGTTGGGAGAATGTTGAGCTCTTTCCTGCACATCCCTGGCCTTAGCGAGTCTGTTCTTCCTGTACCTTTTTCCCTCCTGGATTTACTGAATACTCTTCCTCAGGTTGTTGAGGACTACCGGCTCCCACCTGCTCCCTGCATCAGATCCAGCAACTCCTCCTCTGCTACAGCTCCCGCCTCAGCCTCCCTGCCTCAGCCTATCCTCTCTAACCAAGGTAATCATGAACAGGTCTTGCTCCCAGCTGAGCTGCTCAGTTCTGCCTGGACCATAGGCAGGGCTGTGCTTGAGACAAATGCTGGCACCTGCTTCCTAAAGGCTCGGGCACAGGGAGGGTGGCACTTTTTGCAGGCTGGCTCCTTGGGTGGCACATGGCAGGGAGGTGCCTGGCCGGAATTCAGCACTGTTGTTCGCTTAGTGAGGACCCCCCTATCCCTATATGATGTCCAGTTCCTATAGGGTACCATGGGGGTGTTGGAGAGAACTGAGCAGGCTCAGGCTGTTGACTCATACGGATCCATTCCCCTGTGGCCATCATGGGCAGGTCAGCTTCTAGAAAGTCAGGCCTTGTTTGGGCCCTTGACCCCTGAATGGAAAGCTTTTATTGTTGTTGTGATGCCTTTGTTGCACTCAAGGTATAGCCAAACCCCAAAATACTGCATTTATGGGACCAAGAGCTGCCTGTCCCCATGGACCTGTGGAAGAACAGTCCTTTTCACCTGCCCATTGTTTGTGAGCATTTTCAAAGGGCTTTCACCTCTGAACCCAGGCACCCTCGGAGATGAGTGAGTGAACCAGGTGCCATGAGCGTGGCTGCCGGCCTGGCCCCGACGGAAGAGGGGCAGGTGTGCCGTCCCAAGTGGAGCTGAGGCTCGGGACACAGGAAAGAACGCCACCCGCCCAGGCTCCTGGAGACGCAGAACTTGGTGTGAGGTCTTGGGAAACTAGTTTGGCCCTAGGTTTTAAGAGCCAGAAATATATTTCTACTCCTTAATCTGGTGACCCCACTGGAGGAAACTTATCTAGAGAGGGCTAAGATGCTGGGGAAAGGGAAGTCCTCCCTACTAGCAGACCCAGACTGTGGTCTGCACATCAGGAGGGCAGGGAAAGACGGCTATATCCCAGAACCCTCTACAGCAGTCCTGTCAGGGAGAGAAGACTGAGCTGCAAAAGAGACAACACTTGCTTATTATGTTGAAGCAAAAGCCCAGAGCACAACAGCCCGAGTCACAGCTGCGATGTACAGAGAAGTCATGAAAGCAGAATGGTAGAGCTAGGTGCCAACACATTTACCCATTAGCTTTGTCAAACTTCTGACGAAAGTTTTTATTTTTTATTTTTTCATAAAAGAGGAAGAAAGTTTGAGTCTCTGTGAGAAAGTTTCCCTGACCTCTCTTTAGATCCCCACAGTATTAATGATACTACATAGAAAGCATGCAACCATAGACTTCTGGGGACAGGCCAGTAGGTCCAGAACGTAACCTGTTGTAGCATTTGTTCAATCAGTGTGTGTGGATGAGTGCATGGGTGCTGTGTGCATGCATGGATGCATGGGTGCTGTGTGCATGCGTGAGTGTGTGGACAAGCAAGTGAAGAGCAAGTTGGCCAAGAGCAGGTCCTGGCTAGGCAGGAGGAATGGGTGTCTCCTCCAGGCCACAACTGCCAATAGCCACTGTACCTTGAGGTATTGAAGTCTCTGCAGCAGCCTGGGGCAAGCTTCATCTACTCGTTCCTTGCTGCCCCTTCACCCCTGGGTGCTCTGTAGTCTGCCCCTCCTTTCCCAGTCATTGGACACTGAGAGATGTTGTCCCATATTTACACCTCTTGTAAATAAAACTACAGTGGATGTCTGTGTGTGCACATCTTTTTCCTTTGGGTGAGAAATGACAAAGGTCAGACCCCTGTCTGAGGATTCCTGGTGTCCCCTATCCCATCTGCTGAGTGGCCCTTTCTGACCACTTGTTTGTACAGGCCATGGTCCAGGAAGGAAGTGGACAGACTGTCCTGTCTGCATTTCCTCATGCCCAAACAAGGCTGGAGGGTGTGGGGGTAGTGGCAAGAAAAATACGGATTTTTTTTTTTTGGGGTCCACCCAAATGTGAAACACTCACTTATATGTGTGTTCAGCCATGTGTTCCTGGAGCTGGCCTGGATGGACAGGAAATTTTCTGTGTGAGAACAACTTTACTAACCTACCTTGGGCACTCAAGGCCTGCCTGAGGTGGGTGCTGCCGGGAAACCCCAGTCCTCCGGTCATCACAGCCATGAGAGCAGTGGGAGATTGACAGGGTCAGTGTCCAAAATACCAGAGTTCAGCCCCAGCCCCGGCTGTGCTGTAGACATGATTAGAGCAGGCAGCTGAGTTCCTGATCCATTTTTCTGGCCCTGAAATCCCAAGCAACTTGTAGCCTCTTGGAAGCTGTTTTCTCAACCACAGAGTGGATACATCCTAACTTCATCGATTCTAAGATGCACACATTCCACCCTGTGACTTCTCTGAAATTGAGATGCGTCTTTCAGTCAGTGGCGTCCCCTAGTTGCTGTCAGCCAGCTGGTAATCGTGATGGAGCCGTGTGAATACCTTCCGTGGACATCTACCCTGACCAGGATGGCACCTTACCCACACACCTTAGATTTGATGAAATGTGGTAAATAACGTGAGGTGCGCGTGCGCTGATGCTGGGGGATGCTTGGCACTGCCGAGGCTGAGCAGGATGAGGTGTAGGGGCTGCTTTCTGCAGCCTGAATTGGGATTTCAGCACAGTACCTCTAAGATCATGGAGCTACTTGGGGACCTATGGACTTGTGCCTATGGAAGACCAAGGTAGACCAGTTTGGGAGTACTCTTAGGACTGTAGCAGAAGTGGTGTCAGATGAATTTTGAAAGATGGGTTGGGTTAAGATAATTCCACAGCAGAGGCAAAGCCTGGGGTGCTTGGGGCATGTCTGTGTGCTTATCCCTTCCTGCTTCACAGCCTCTGCAGCTAAGCTTCACGGGGTATCTGGGCTTGGGCTGCCTGCTTATCCTTTGGGCAGAGAACCTGGGCTCTGTGAGTTGTCCTGGTGTATGCAGCAGTCCATCTGAACAGGATACGTGTGGGGCTCTTGAGGGTACAGTCATTTGATTGGGCCATGGTGGCTGTTTAGTAACAAAGCCAGACTGGAGGGATAGCTCTTCTAGACCAGCTAGACTACAGTTTGAAACACGTTGGTGGTTGTTTTTGTTGGTGGTTGTTTTTTAAGTGCAGGGGTGGGAGTGGAGAAAGAGACTCCCCCTTAACCAGTTGCAAACTGGAGTGAAATAATGGCTCCAGACAGGCTGTTCATAAAATACCTTAGTGTAGCCTAAATAACCAGTGCATTTCAAGGAAAGTAGGCGATAGTGCAGGACAGTCAGCAGGGCACCCTGGGAAAGTAGTCCTGTGGGTTTAGGCACTAGCTGTGCTCAGCACTGAAGGAATCAAGTCTGCAAAGCCTGGCTTCCTGGCAAAGGGGCCTGCACATGGAATTTGTGAGCCCTGCAGAGATACCAGATGAGAGCACAGGGTCACTTGTGGTCCTTTCTTTGGACAGTGTTTCAGTACATCCAAGGCTATCGATAAATACATTACCAAAATGTTTTTCTGACAGTTAGACCAGCTTGTTCCCCAGTACCCATCTTTTCCTTGTCAGGCTGGGCCAGGCTGTGTGGTCTAACCATGCCACAGTAAGAAAAAAAGTGGTCTCGTGTTTGAATGTGTCTTTCTTTGTGCAAGCATTGTTTATATGTAGTGTCAATCTATTGGTCCTTCTTCCATGCGATGTCTGCTCATAGTCTTTACCTTCTCTTACAGCATCACAGCTCTCCCCGTTTCTGTAATTTTATAGATTGAGGTACAGATCTTTGTTTGTATTCCAGGCACTTTTTTGTCTGTGCATTTTTCTGTCTTTGTAATATACCTCTAGAGGTTTGGTCTTTATGACTCCCTCCCCAGCTTGTCTGCCCAGGTAGCCTTTTCCTCACACTAGAGAGCAGCCACTGGCTCCATCCTAGGTACTGAGGAGTTACTGAATTATTGCATTTCTTTTCTGTGACCTGTATGATGATTTGGGGTCCGGCTAGTGCCCGGCTGTGCCGTGAGCCCAAGGCCTAGCCTCTTCTTGAACAGCTGCTCTTCCTGCCCACCTGCCCACCCCATCTCTGCAGGTATCATGTTCGTACAGGAAGAGGCCCTGGCCAGCAGTCTCTCATCCACTGATAGTCTGCCTCCCGAGGACCGGCCCATTGCCCGAGCCTGCTCTGACTCCTTGGAATCTATCCCCACAGGACAGGTAATGCCCTCACCTGCTCCTGGAAACTCTCTCCTCAGCCATGCTGCTGCCATCTGACTTTGTTCACACAATATGGCCTGGTGGGGTGTGGCACATGTGGCAACAGCTTCTGGGTACTTTCTATGTCTTGTAGTATTTCTCTTGGATGTGTCTCTAGTTGGGTCATAGGCCAAGTGGTTAAGGGTTTGAGTTTGGCCTCCTCCATCCTACAGAAACAGGCAGTACTTTCTCTTGGGTCCTAAGGGCAAGGGAAGATTGGCATTCTTTGCCACACATAAGCTGGATGTCCAAGGGGAATATCCCCTAATGCTTAGCACCCCAGAGCCCACTCAGTCCCTTCTTCCCACATGTCACCGTGGTGGTCTTAGCAATGTGACTCTAGCTCTTCTTTGTAGTTGCAGTCTAGGCTTTTGGGACTCATTTCTGTGTCCCTTGAAAAGAGAGATGGAAAATGAGTGCCTGGTGCTGTGTGTGCTTGATGCCTGGACCTTTCTGCTCCATCATTCTGCACAGCTAGGGTCATGGTCATATGATGTTAAGACAGTTTGCAGAGGCTTTGTCTGTCCTACCTCCTGAAGACTGGCACCTTAAGGAGAGCAAGGTCCTTGACCTAGTCTTAACCTGGTACACAGGAAGCACTGGGGGCCTTGCCAGAACCGGTTTCCAACATGTGCACTGCTGCCTACCTGGGGCCAGACCAAACAAAGCACCTGATCCCTTGGGTGGCACAAAGGTCCTCAAATGCCAGACATCCATGGAAACAGGCTCTGGTCCATGGATGTGCATGTAAGTCAGGTCAGACAGGTGGGAAAGCAGCAAGTTCCTCAGCTCACCCAGAGTGGAGTATGAGGCAACGAGGCAACTTTACAAGCAGCTGAGGGCCAGCACCCAGTGAGTGCTGAAGAACAGCTGCAGCAGGTGGGCTCACTCTTTTCTCCTCTGTCAGGTGGCCTCTGAAGATTTAAGGGATATACCAGGAGCTGTTGGCGGTGTGAGGTAAGGAAGAGGTGAGAGTCAGTGGGGGCAGCTGCACAGCTTCTGTGTTCACTGCCGCAGAGTGAGCGGCCAGTGGAGCCTGTTCACAGAAGACTCTAATCAAGTGCAGTTGAGATGATGCACTCTGTCTGTTTTTCCTCAGCTGCCTAATTGAAATTATCTTACACTAGAAGTTGGCAAGTCAAAGCCAGTATGAGTCTTGTCTGGTTTGTACTGGGAGCTAACGATATGTGTTCTCTCTTTGTTTGTGGGGTTGTTTTGTTTTTGAAACAGGGTCTCATTTAGCCCAGACTGGCCTAGATTTTACCTTGCAGCTTAGACTGGCCTCAAATTTATGGCATTCCTCCTCCCTCAGTCTCCATAGAGACAGGCTTACAGAAATTAGCCACCCCACCTGTTTTTGTTATTACAGTCTTTTTGTTTGTTTTGTATTTGTTTTTGTTTTTTGTTGTTGTTGTTGTTTTTTGTTCTTTTTGCCTTTGAAACAGGGCCTCTGTATAGCCCAGACTGTCCTGGAACTTGTTTGTAGACCAGGATGGGTTTGAACTTGAAAGATTGGCCTGCCTCTGCCTCCTATTGGCAGCGATTAAAGGTGTAGGCCATCATACCTGGCTCCTGCTGTTTTTTGTTAATAGATCTGTTTCTTTTTTCTGGGCGTGGTGGTGCACTTCTTTAATCCCAGCACTCAAGAACAAACACGTCTTTATAGGTTCGAGAATAGCCTGGTATACACTACAAGTTCCAGAGCAGCTAGGACTACATAAAGAGATCCTGTCTCAAAATAAACACAATATTGTTTCTTTTCATTTTAAGTGTAGGAGTGTTTGCCTACATGTATATATGTGTGTACCACACATATGCTTGGCTCCTCTGCAGTCTAAGACAGGGTGTCTCATCTCCTCTAACTGGAGTTAGAAATGGTTGTTAGCTACTGTGTGGGTGCTGGGAAAACAACCTAGATTCACGGCAAGAACTCTGAGTACCCTTAACTGCTGAGCCATCTGTTAAGCCTTTGGTTATTACATGCCTAAATGATTGTTTATACAAAATTACAATGGTAGGGTCAGCACACGCATCATGAAATATTAGCTCCTTGGCCCTTTGCACAAGTCTATTTTTAGTTATGTGTTTATTTGTATGCTTAATTTTTTTGTTGTTGTTGTTGTTTGGTTTTTTATTGTTGTTAAGACAGAGCTTCTCCATGTAGCTCTAGCTGTTCTGGAGCTCACTCTGTAGACCAGGCTGACCTCAAACTCAGAGATCCTCCTCCTTCCCTCTCCTGAGCGCTGGAATTAAAGTTACCATGTACCACTGCTGCCTGGCTTTATTGATTGATGATTGACTTTTGAGGCCAGATCTCTATATAGCCCTGACTGGTGCGGGACCCACTGTGTAGACAAGCTGGCTTCAAAACCGATAGAGATCCCCCTGCCTCTGCCTCCCTATTCTGAGATGAAAGGCTTGCTCTACCATGCCCTATTACAGAAGCGTGTATCTCTGATTCTTGTTCATGGAGGGTTGTAGAGGGCAAGTGAGGCCAAAAGTTAAATGAAAAGATCCTAGGACCCACCCAACTTGATTTACTGCCCTGGAAAACCAGGCTGTCCCTAAAAGTAGCCTTTTTCAACAAAGTAATTCACATTTTGTAGCATTTCATTGCATCTTTGACACCTGACAGCATCCGAATGATAGAAGTCTACATAGCACCTTTGTTGTGGCAGCCAGCTTGGTTTGGCAGGCTGTCCTGGGCAGTATGTGGAAGCATGGACTCAACTTGATGGTAGCCACTTGACAGGCTCAGCTGTATGAGAGGCTCAGGAGACCCATGGATTGGCTTCCTAGGGTTAGGGTACTACAGCAGTCTAGGGGATAGAATGTCCCTGTGTCCCTGACCCAGTCTCTTCTTGTACAGCCCAGATCACGCAGAGCCAGAGGTTCAGGTGGTGCCTGGGTCAGGCCAGATCATCTTCCTGCCCTTCACTTGCATCGGCTACACAGCCACCAACCAGGACTTTATCCAGCGCCTCAGCACACTGATCCGCCAGGCCATTGAACGGCAACTCCCTGCCTGGATTGAGGCTGCCAACCAGCGAGAGGAAGCCCATGGTGAACAGGGTGAGGAGGAGGAAGAAGAGGAAGAAGAGGAGGATGTTGCCGAGAACCGCTACTTTGAAATGGGACCCCCAGACGCAGAGGAAGAGGAGGGGAGCGGCCAGGGAGAAGATGAGGAAGATGAAGACGAGGAGGCTGAGGAGGAACGCCTGGCTCTGGAGTGGGCCCTGGGCGCTGACGAGGACTTCCTGCTGGAGCACATCCGCATCCTCAAGGTGCTGTGGTGCTTCCTGATTCACGTGCAAGGCAGCATCCGCCAGTTCGCTGCCTGCCTTGTACTCACCGACTTTGGCATTGCTGTCTTTGAGATCCCACACCAAGAGTCACGAGGCAGCAGCCAGCACATCCTCTCCTCCCTGCGTTTTGTTTTCTGCTTCCCACATGGTGACCTCACGGAGTTTGGCTTCCTCATGCCGGAGCTGTGTCTGGTGCTCAAGGTGCGGCACAGTGAGAACACGCTCTTCATCATCTCAGATGCTGCCAACTTACACGAGTTCCATGCTGATCTGCGCTCCTGCTTTGCGCCACAGCACATGGCCATGCTGTGCAGTCCCATCCTTTACGGCAGCCACACCACCCTGCAGGAGTTCTTGCGCCAGCTGCTCACCTTCTACAAGGTGGCCGGTGGTAGTCAGGAGCGCAGCCAGGGCTGCTTCCCTGTCTACCTGGTCTACAGTGACAAGCGCATGGTCCAGACAGCTGCCGGGGACTACTCAGGCAACATTGAATGGGCTAGCTGCACACTGTGCTCGGCAGTGCGTCGCTCCTGCTGCGCGCCCTCTGAGGCCGTCAAGTCAGCTGCCATCCCCTACTGGCTGCTGCTCACGTCCCAGCATCTCAATGTCATCAAGGCCGACTTCAACCCCATGCCCAACCGTGGCACCCACAACTGCCGCAACCGCAACAGCTTCAAGCTGAGCCGGGTCCCACTCTCTACTGTGCTGCTTGACCCCACTCGCAGCTGCACCCAGCCACGGGGCGCCTTCGCTGATGGCCATGTGCTCGAGCTGCTTGTTGGCTACCGCTTTGTTACCGCCATCTTTGTGCTGCCTCACGAGAAATTCCACTTCCTGCGAGTCTACAATCAGCTACGCGCCTCACTGCAGGACCTGAAGACTGTGGTCATCTCCAAGAATCCTTCAGCTAAGCCAAGAACCCAAACCCATCTTGTGGGTGGCCAGCCTGCCAAGAGCAGGGCCAGGTGAGACTAGTGCAGGCTGTTAGGACCTGGGGTGTGGGATTGGCTTGGGTGTGGTCTCTGGGCCTTCATACTCTGTGGGAGTCTCCCTCTACCTTCCCTCTCCCGCTTCTCTGAGCACTGACCAGTCTCAGGCTTGGCCTCCATGGACTTAGTGCTAAGTGTTCCAGATCTCCAGAGCCTTAAAAGCAGCCCGAGCAAGCTGTCCATGCAGTGTAGGACAGGGTAAGGGAGCCAGCCCTGGCTTGCCAGTGGAGAACATCACCTTGTCCCCTGGCCTTGTCCTCGGACCCTCCCACTGTCCTCTCATATGCACAGGGTGGTTTCTTGGTGTCACCTTTCTCCTCTACCAGGCAGCTCATCTAGTAGCTGGCTCTGTCAGCTCGTGAGTGTTCCAGGCCCCCTATTTCTGAGACAGCTTCTCAGGCTCCTTTTTTTTTTTTTTTACCATAAAGTTCTTGTCAGGAAGGACTGAGTTATATTATATCTAACTTGGAAGTCCCTAAAAGAACCTTCTGAAGATCAAAACCTATGGGTAGGTCATCTTTTCTTCAGGAGAGATTGAGGTACGTAGCAGGAAGGATCTGGCAGCTTTAGTCTGTTCTCACTCTTGCCCCCCTGTGAGGGCCCTGCCCTCTGTTGCTGGATTCCCCACCTGTGGAGCAGAAGATCTAACAGCTCATATTCTCTATCCTGGCAAAATGCTGAGACTTTGACCCCTGGCTCCCTCCCCTCCTCTCAGTCAGTCCCTGGCTGATGATCCAAAGGGCTTTCAACTCTTACAGCTAAATCCTGTGCCCCTCTTACATCTGTACAGAGGCATGCCCCTTACCTCCCCTCGCCATGTGAGGCTTAGGTGCCATGCACCTTGTCCTTCTTCCAAGCTGCCACAAACTTAGCTTGCTCCTGGGACTGCTACAGAAACCAGGCCCCATACAGATGTGTCTGCACACCCATGACAGCAGGAGAGTAGCCCGCCCGCCAGCTTCATGAGGTATTCGGACAAATTCCAGGTCGTGGCCATAGGGATCACAGCAGTTGGACTGGATCTGATAGGTGGACAGAGCAGCGTCCAGAGGACCCCACCCCTTCCTTCAGTGTGGCCCCGGGGGCTGAATGCTGGAAACTCCCAGCTCCCATGGGATTTAGCTTTTGAGCATTAATTATGACTAGGATAGATCTGTGACACTCCAGCATGGCCATGTGCAGTGGTGGCTGGGTGAGTGACATGCCAGGGCCACCTAAAGATACCCCCAAACAAACTGAAGACCATTTTGAGTCTTAGTTCTCGCCTCTGCTTGCATATACACACCCAGACACTTTCCCTATTCTGTGTAGTAGATCATCCCAAGGGTAGTGTGTACTGTATGGTTGTCCGTCACACTCTGATGTTGTGCATATGATGGAAATGTCCATGGGCACACATGGTTATTTGTCATTTCTTCGCTGGGAGATGCAGTGCTGAGCAGCAGCTGCAGGAGACCCCAGCAGAAGCTCCTGCTCCAGTGCCAGCTCCAGCTGCAGCCCCAGCAGAAGCCTCAGCTCCAGCTCCAGCTCCAGCTCCAGCTCCAGCTCCTGGAGAGGACCCAGTTCTAACTTCAGCAAAGGCTCCAGCCCCAGCAGAGGCTCCAGCTCCACCAGAGGCTCCAGCTCCACCAGAGGCTCCACCAGCCCCAGCAGAGGCTCCAGCAGAGGCTTCAGCTCTAGCAGAGGCTCCAGCTCCAGCAGAGGCTCCAGCCCCAGCAGAGGCTCCAGCTCCAGCAGAGGCTCCACCAGCCCCAGCAGAGGCTTCAGCAGCCCCAGCAGAGGCTCCAGCTCCAGCTCCAGCAGAGGCTCCGACTCCAGCAGGGCCATCTGCTCCAGCAAGGGCTCCAGCAGGGGCATCTGTTCCAGCGGGGGCATCTGCTCCAGCGGGGGCATCTGCTCCAGCAAGGGCTCCAGCTCCAGCGGGGGCATCTGCTCCAGCGGGGGCATCTGCTCCAGCAAAGGCCCTGGCACAAGCAGAGGTCCCTGCCCAGTACCCAAGTGAGCGCCTAATCCAGTCCACATCTGAGGAGAATCAGATCCCTTCTCACTTGCCAGTCTGCCCATCACTCCAGCACATTGCCCGTCTTCGAGGGAACGCCATCATTGACCTCTTCCACAGCAGCATTGCTGAGGTATTGGCCCAGGTGCTAGTCTTACTGACTGGCAGAGGTGTGGGCTCTGCTGAGGTACCAGTTAGTCCTGAGGTAGAGTTTGTGTTGGGACATCCTCATGACCCAGATTTCTCTTGACTGCTCACAGGATTGAGGATCTGGGTCAAGAGGTCTGCCATTCAGCTAGCCAGGTGTGCCCTCTGTCATACCTGACTGTGTATCCCTGGTCCCTGTGCTTACCTCCTTTTCTCCCCTCCTCTCTGCTCTGAGTTTATTTGAAAAATGAGATGAGCTTTCTGTCTCTCCCCATCCAAGGCCATGAGCAGTTCCTGGAACACAGGAATCACCACATTAGCCAGACTCAAAAAGGAGGAATGTGCTGCCTGGAGTCTGTGGTCCAAGAGGAAGGGGGTGTGGCCTGCCCTCACCTCAGGCTCTCACTTAACCCTGTGTTCCCAGGTTGAAAACGAGGAGCTAAGGCACCTCCTGTGGTCATCAGTGGTATTCTACCAGACCCCAGGGCTGGAAGTGACCGCCTGTGTGCTGCTCTCCACCAAGGCCGTATACTTCATTCTGCACGACGGCCTCCGCCGCTACCATTCTGAACCACTGCAGGGTAGGTGCTCCCCGCCTGACCGCTCTCGGGGCAGGGGCAGGTTAAGAGCCAACCGTGGGAGGCTGGAGAGATGGCTCAGCAATTAAGAGCACTAACTGCTCTCCCAGAGGTCCTGAGTTCAATTCCCAGCAACCAATGGTGGCTCACAAGCATCTGTAATGGGATCCGATGCCCTCTTCTACTGTGTCTTAATGTGTACTCACGTACATAAAATAAATAAATAACCTCAAAAAGAGCCAACCATGGGCTTGGGTAAAAGCTCTGGGCTCAGAGTCCCTCATCTGAGAAAGGGGTAACAACATCACTTCCCTCTTAGAACTCATGTAGACCTAAGGCTAAACGTGAATGTGCCATGCCAGGGAATGCTTGGGAACTGGCTGACACATGCAGGGATTTGGCAGTCTCTGCCCTTTGGATCTCAGTAGGAGCCTCATCCAATGGTCTGGTGACTCCACTGAACTAAGCTAGACGAGGCTCGTACCCCACACCCAGTGTCACATAGGTCCTCCATATGTGAAGGTGGTGCTGGCTCCCTGCCAGGCTAGACATGTTAGACATGCTAGACATGTTTAACCTTAGCCTCTTCTCCATCACAGATTTCTGGCACCAGAAAAACACTGACTATAACAACAGTCCTTTCCACATCTCTCAGTGCTTTGTGTTCAAACTCAGTGACTTGCAGTCAGTCAACGTTGGCCTTTTCGACCAGTACTTCCGGCTGACGGGTAAGTGAAATGATGTGTTTTATCCTGGTTTGAGTGTAGGCCGGTGTCACCAGTGGGCTTCCATCTCGAACACGTAGGTACACTACCACATGACACATTATCTTCACTTACAAGCTAGCTACTCGGGTAGGAGGAAGCAGCTTCAGGAACTGCTGAGATGGCAGGACTCCCACCCCACGGTTGTAGCAGGAGCTGGGTGTACAGAGAACAGCAGAGTGGGCCCTGGGCTTAGGGCAGGATGTTTCTGACTCATACTTCCTTCCTGAAAGGAGAAAACTAAGTTAGCTCTTTCCCTAATGCCTCTGTCCTCTTCCTGCCTGAGATACGGCCATCTCCCCGGCCCATGGTGCCCTCCCACATGAACCCTGTGGGTCCTAGTTTTCTGTTGGGGCATTGCAGGGATGGGAATGGTGGCCTGTAGTTGTGACCAACCCCTTCTTGTGCAGGCTCCTCCCCGAAACAGGTGATCACGTGCTTGACTCGCGACAGCTACCTGACACATTGCTTCCTCCAGCATCTGATGCTTGTGCTGTCCTCCTTGGAGCGCACACCCTCACCTGAGCCTGTTGACAAGGACTTCTACTCGGAATTTGGGGACAAGAATACAGGTACCCTGTCCACTCCAAGAGCCCTCACTGCCTCTGCCTAGCTGGCCAGGCTTTATGTGGTCCTCAGAAGTTCCATCCCAGCAGTCCCCAGCCAGCCAGCAGACCTGACTCCTCTCCCTGGCTTCTAGCTTACAGCAGCACCCTGACTCTTCTCATTAGAGTCTGCAGATGGGGTGGGGCTGCTGTTACTTCTGACTGCACCGCAGGCCAGCTCAGGCCACACTCTGCTGTCTCTCTTCCTGCAGGGAAAATGGAGAACTATGAGCTGATCCACTCCAGCCGCGTCAAGTTCACCTACCCCAGTGAGGAAGAGGTCGGAGACCTGACCTATATTGTTGCAGAGAAGGTGGCTGATCCTGCAAAGAGTCCAGCCCTCAGCATCCTACTATACATACAGGCCTTCCAGGTGGTCACACAGCAGCTTGGGCGGGGCAGGGGCCCCCTGCGCCCTAAGACACTCCTCCTGACCAGTGCTGAGATCTTCCTCCTGGACGAGGACTACATCCACTATCCATTGCCTGAATTTGCCAAAGAGCCACCACAGAGGGACAGATACCGGCTAGATGATGGCCGCCGTGTCCGGGATTTGGACCGGGTGCTCATGGGCTACTATCCCTACCCACAGGCCCTCACTCTTGTTTTTGATGACACACAGGGCCATGACCTCATGGGGAGTGTCACCCTGGACCACTTTGGGGAGGTGCCAGGTGGTCCTGGCCGGGCTGGCCAGGGCCGGGAGGTTCAGTGGCAGGTGTTTGTCCCCAGTGCTGAGAGCCGAGAAAAGCTCATCTCACTGCTCGCACGACAGTGGGAAGCTCTTTGTGGCAGGGAGCTGCCTGTGGAGCTCACTGGCTAGTGCATGCCACAGCAGCCCTGGCCTCCTGCCATGACCAGCCTAGCCTGGTGCCCATGAGGGCAGGGAAGCGGGCCTTTTGTGTTCTTTTTAAGGTCTTTCTCCTCTCCCTTGGTTCCTCCATTGATTGCCCATGGCCCCCACACATGTGACCAGCTCCTACAGAGAATGTGAACATGTGTACTCAGTTAATCCTTCCTAACGCTGGGAAGGTGTATGCCAGCCCCACCAGAGCGTCCTTGTGCTGTTAGCGTCCCTTATGTCGCCTGCCCCTGAAGTGGCATGGCCAGTCACGCCAGCATTGTTTTGTCTGTGATTGATGCTGTTGTTAGCGTGGCGCTGTGGACCTGATAACCCCCACGTCCTTTCCTGAAGTGTTAAGTCCAGCCCTTTGTTGCTGTTGCTGTCATTGTGGGCGTGCTGCTGCTAATTACAAAGCTGGTAGCAAAATACATGTGGCAAGCTCCCATGTCGTGGGCTTTTCAAAATGGAGGCCTCCTCAAGTCCAGACCAGAGGAGGTCCTACGGGGAGTTCCCAGGTCATAGGTCCAAGAGGAGCCAGTGCAGGGGACCTAGAGCTGCCAGCACCAAGTATAATTCCTGTTGCCTATGTTCTCTATTCTAATAAAATGGAGTTTGACACAATCTGAGTCTTCAAGGTCATAGAATACTGGGCTCCCAACAAGGCTTCAACCAAAGGCTTGGTCAGCACAGGGAAGTTGGAGACAAGAAGAGAGAGAAAGAGGGGAAGGTGGGAGGGTCCCCAGGACAGAGCCATGCTAAGCTGTGGTCAAACCAGGGGCCTAGGTAAACAATAGTACCTGTCTTCAGCAGGAAGTGGTGGTACACACCTTTAGTGCCAGCTCTCAGGAGGCAGATTCAGGTGGATCTCTGAGTTCAAGGCCAGCCTGAGTGAGTTCCAGGACAGCCAGGACTACATCTGTCTCAAAACAAACAACTTTGTTTTATTCCTTGTCTTGTTTCTTCCACACATCCATGTCAGCCCAGATGGTACCCCTGTTCTTTTTCAGCTAACACTCCAGGAGAGACAAAAAAATGAACTATTAAAGAGAGCAGTACCAGCTGATTGCCAGTGCCAGAGAACTGAAATCAGGCCCTGGGCTGCCCCGAAGCCTGGGGTCAGGTCAAAGAAGTGCTCTGAACCTTGATTAAAGGGAAACCAGACTGGGGCTGGAGCTTGATAATCAAGCACCTGTAACATGTACTAAGCCAACAACACAACCTTAAACTAATTAAATGTAGCAGAGTTTATCTGAGCAAAGTAAACCTATTTCTTTAATCAGGCAGCCCTGGGAAGGGCAGCAGCCAGAAGGACCAGACTGGGCAACACTTACAGGAGACAGAAAGGACCTAGTTGGCCAGTTGATGAGAAAGCCTGTAATTGAAGATCCATGTGTCTGGTTTGTTGGTCACAGTGAGAAATTTTAGTCCAAACCAATTAGCTTCAACACCAGAGACCACATCTACCTGGGAGAAGGAAACAGCATGTACTGTTGCAGCTTACTGGAAGAGAAAAGCCCCAGTTGGCCAAGAGGCAAAGCAGAAAAGGAAAATCTATGGGGATGTGAAAAGAGTCCAGTGAAGGAACAGAGAGGCTTTTCCTAAAGCTGTAGCGTGACTGTGGCATCCTCTCTCCAACAGGGCTGCCTTGTCTGGCCTCAATGGGAAAAGATCCCCCTAATCCTGCAGCCACCCCAGGAGGGCCCCATGCTCTCAGAGGAAAAAGGGAAGGGGGATGGGCGCGGGACTCTGTGAGGGGGAACCAGACAGCATTTGAAATGTAAATAGATATGGGTGGTGGTGGTGCACATCTTCAATCCTAGCACTTGGAAGGCAGAGGCAAGTGGATATGGACAGCCAGGGCTACACAGAGAAACCCTGTCTCGAAAAACAAACAAGCCACCGCCAACAACAACAAAAACAAACAAAAACCTTAAGTCTTAATAAATGGTGACTTGGAAGCCTGCACACATGTTCTTGAGTGTGCTTTTTTTTTTTTTTAACACTATTTTTAATGAAACCTCAGTTTTATTTCATACCGGCCAGTCCAGAAAATCTTTTCTGCTTTGAATCCATGAATCCTGGGTTTGCCTGAGTGGAGGTCCCTAAAAGATTAAAGGAACCCCTCAGGCTGTGCTCTGTGGCTCTACCCAGTCTGAGCAGAGTGAGAGATGTCACAGACACCCACCACAAGTGTGGAAAGGATTGACAGGTGGCAGTGGAACCTGGACTGCAGAGTTAGGGGTGGCCTTACCATGAGGCTGGTAAGGGGAGACCAGTCTGAGGGGCTAGCATGTTTTTCCATCTCTACTGGTGTTGGACAGGAAGACTGAGGCAGCTGGCCTGGGGACAGGCAGCCCAGGGGCTGCCCAACAACCACCTAGCCACCAGAACCCCAGAGCCTCTGGATGAAAAGCCAGCTTGACAGATACAGGGAAAATTTATTGGTGTTTAAATTTGCTTCAGAATCTCCCTCCCCTAGACCCCAGGCATGTGGCTAATGGAGGCTCTGGACCTCCAGACCACGATACCAGGGAGCGTCGTCCTGGGCCAGGAAGCCCTGAACAGGGCCCAGGTCGTCCATGTGGGGGTCACTGGCCAGCGTCTTCCCTTCCGCCTGCAGGCTGCTGATACGCAGGAGGAAATCCTGGTGGGTTCCTGTGGGGGTGAGCTGACGATAGCTTTTAAAGCGGCTGCTCACCCACCCTGTCCTGCTCCTTCCTCATGCCTGCCTCTTGGAGTTCACTCACTGCCTGCCGCTACAATCACTGTCCCCACAGTACTTTTGTCTCAGACAGCGGACCTGCCTGCTATGGCAGAGCCCCGAATCCTCCTTTTACTCTGCATCCTGGTTCTCTGCCTGGCAGACTCCGGCTTCATCAGAGGACAGACGGTAAGTGGGAGCCAGGGTCAGGGAGGGACCATGTTAGTTGGTGTTTCAATGCGTTGGGGGGTATCAAAGCAGCTGGTACCTGTCTGACCTCCCTGGGGGCCCAGGTCACCAGGCTGTTGTCCCACCTCCCCAGGCTGAAGTCTGTGGCTGTTCTCCCTGAAGTTTAAAGGCTTCAGCAACATAGAGATCTCCTCTATGTCTGGCTAGCTGGATATGCACTATGGGCAGTCATGCTGGGTTCCCCAGCCTGAGTAAACAGGGACAGAGCCAGCCTCATCCTCCTGGGTTCCCTTCCCAGATTGAGACTGTAGTCTATGCAGCCCTCACCTGGGGTTTGTTAATGTGATCATTACCTATCCTCTGGAAACTAAACCAAGGGGCTCATTCAGAACCTGGCTACATATATGCCCATAGCCAGCACTGAGCCTGTCTGGAAGGAATGAGAGCCACTGGGCAGATAGCAACCAACAACAACGTTCTCAAGTCTCAGAGGTGCCCCTCACCAGCCCTGGATGTGGCCCCTTCAGTCTTTACAGCTTTTAGCAAGCTTGTTTTTTTTCTCTCCTGTTAGAAATCCAAGGCCCAAGGAGGACAGCAACAAGCTGTTCCCTCTAGAGCCATGGTCGGGACCACAGCCTGTGGTTCTTACTCAGGCCTGCGATTCCTCATCCAGTGCGCTGAGTAGACAGGGCCTCATGAGTGGTTGTAGCACAGCTCCGGAGGCCTAGGGTGCCAGGCTGCCTGTCCCTAGGTGTCCCCAGTCTATAGCTGCTGTGTGAACTTTGGGAAGAGCTTCTGTGAAGACTGAGTTTTGGATCTGTAGCTGGGCAAGGGAGCTTCCCTCATGAGACCAAGCTCATCATCTGCTTCTTGGGCAGCTTCCAAGGCTCCTGTGGCAAAGAGAGGGGATCTGCCACCAGGTAGCTGTGGGGTGCTTTGTCTTTATGCTCCCTGTGGTCCTGTGGAAAAAGGATTCCAGGGCCAGGCCAGGGCTGGGTGGAGCAGGTGGGACACCTGATGAACATGATGGAAAACCACAAGCTCCAGGGTTGTGCACCTTGTCACCTGTGTGCTGGTGTTCTGGTCAATGAGGACAGTGGTCAGTGAAAAATCTCAGCTTGGAGGGTTTTTTCTTGTCAGAGACCTGGTATAGTTCCAAACAGTCCTAAGTCTGTAGTTCTGAGACTGAAGCCCAGCCAGCCTGGACCAGGGAAGAGGTTCTGAGGTCCTCGTGCTGTCCTTTCCCCTCACAGACCCTCATCCTGTATGACGTGAGACACAAGCTGCAGCTGCTAGGAACAGAGACTCAAAGGGCAAAGGGCACCCCTGAGTCAGACAGCCAGCAAAGGTGGCATTAAGGACTTAGCATAGCAGGCTTGGGCAGCAGACACACGGAGGTCTCCCTGTGGGAGGATCTTAGCATGTGTCCGTCCATCTGCTCAGGGGCTACTTTGTGTTGAGCACAAGCCTGGGACCCACAGCCCAGGTAGAGAAGCAAGAGCATTGACCAGTACCCAGCTTTGTCCCCGCCTGCTCTGATCCAGAGTAGGAGGCAGCTCACAGGCCCTTCCACTCTTAGGTGGTTTAGATTCTAGGCAGTTAACCCAGAGACTCCCCAGGAGCTTGGTTCCAGTGTGGGGGAGTTTTCTTCACCTCACTACTGAGTTTATTAGTCCGTGTCTCCTCCCCTTTCCCAGCATAGAAAGCAGACACGGCAAACAGCCCTGAACTGAGCGCTCTGCCAGGTCCTGAGATGCACCCAGTAAGCAGACCTTTGATTCAGTTGAAGCCTGTCCAACCTCATCCCACCCAGCTGTATCACCAGCAGGAATGTGAGCTCCATCTGGTGCCCCTGGTGGGCAGATGAGTGCCTGTCTCTCTTGGGTGTGGTCCCTGGTGAGGTGCTGATTCGGCAATTGGCTTATCCATCCATCACCACTGCATACAGGCTTACAAAGCTCCAGCTTCCTCCAGGCCCTCCCTCCCTCTGAGTAATGCCGGCTCCCAACTCACCCAACTCACCAAACTCTGGCCAACCGTCCTAGGAGCTCAACCAGAGTGGCAGTTGTCCTTTCAGTTCTGCTTGTCTAGGCAAGTGGCTTCAAGGAGAGCCCACTGTCAGCCAAGCATATGCCCGGAGCCTGAAACTGAGTTGCTTAATTTCCTAGACCTGTCTTGGGTTTGCAAAGAGGAGCTTTGGCATGACAAATCCAAACATAACATCTAGACCTGAGGTTTTGCTGAGTAACTTCCCTCTTTCTCAACCACAGAGGCATGAGCGGAAAAGGCAAAATCACTGTAGCAGGGTGGCCGGAGGGGGGTGGGAGGTGGGGGTTGTACACTCCACCAGAAAGTGTTTTTCTTTCTCTCTGGTTTTGGTTTGCTTCACTAACTGAAGCAAGTGTGTAGCCCACGATTATAACAGTTGAAGGTAGGAGAATCAGAAATTCAAAGCTAGCCTGGGGCTATGTGAGATATGTAATATAAACACGTATCAAAGCTTTAAAAAATAATAATAAAATAAATTTAACAGGCAGTGGTGGTACATGCCTTTAATCCCAGCACTCAGAAGGCAGGGGCAGGCAGATTTCTGAGTTCAAGACCAGCCTGGTCTACAGAGTGAGTTTTAGGACAACCAGAGCAACACAGAGAAACTCTGTCTTGAAAATAAATAAATACACTTTAAACCAACAATAACAACAAACAACTCATTAACTGAGTTCTGAGGGTG